TTTTAATTAAAAAAAAATTGTGGGGGCTGGAGGGATGGCTCAGCAGTTAAGGGCACTGGCTGCTCTTGCAGAAGACTTGGGTTCAAATCTCAGCACTAATATGGTGGCTAACAACCACCTCTAACACCAGTTCCAAGGGATCCGATACCTTCTTCTGGCCTTGCGTGCACTGCATAACACAGGTACATTTACATACGGGCATAACACTCGAACACATAAAATAAAAAATAAATAAAAAATCATGTCTGTGTCTATGTGTCGTGTGTGCAGATACCCACCGAGGTCAGAACAGAGTGTTGGATCCCATGGAGCTGGAGTTACAGGCAGTAGTGAGGTGCCCAATGTGGGTGCAGGGCACTAAACCCAGGTCCTCTGCAACAGCAGCCCATGCCCTTAACTGCTGAGCCACCTCTCCAGCCTCCTGGTTTGGTACTCTTAACTCTAGACTGATGCCTTCAGCATTTTCCTTTGTTTTACTTGTTACTTAAACATGACATATTTTGGAAAATACATCTGTCATAGTATGTGAAGCTTGGGGCTTTCACGAATGGATACCTCATGTGATCAGAAAGACTTCCAGTTAGTAGTGCTATAATAGCTGGTGAAGCCTCATTATAGACTGGGCCTCATTGCATTTGGGTGTCCTCTTAACTGGTGTCATCTCTGACCCAGGGCCAGCACGGAGCTTTGGATTTAGGGTGACACACACTGAAATCTTTCCTGGGCCTGTCTCCCACCTATGACCTCCTACACATATAAAGGCCGCTTGGCACCCACATGGCAGCTAACCACCATTCGTAATTCCAGTTCCAGGGGATTCAACACCCTCTTCTGACCTCTGCAGGCACTGCACAACACAGGTACACTTACATACATATAAAATAAAAATTAAAATAAAAAAAAACCAAAACTCTTTTTTCACCAAACCAAAGTTTAGTTAGCTCAGTAAGTCTTATGCACACTGTCTCTGCTGGACAAGGTGAGCCTGACCCAGCTGGCCTCCAGGGCAGCACCCGACAAGGGAGGCACCTCTTGGGAAGGCTTGTAGGGTGCCTGGTCCCTTCCCTACACATCACAGCAGCAGGTTTAAAACAGGCCATGAGCCCTTTGTGTGCTCCTATCATGTGTCTGGTGGTGGGTAGACCCCTCAAAGGTAACGTCATTCTTCATAACAGACACATGTGAAAAGCAAGCACGTCTGCAAACATTATGGCTGGCCTCACAAGGCCCGACTGTCTCAATACCACTTCTGGCTAACCAAGGCGCTGAGAGCTGCTGTTCCCACTTGGCGATCTAGTAGTCCCTGCACACACAGTAAGCAGCACCTTTATCCTGGTCAACAGATACAGGTTGACTGGAAGATGGCATCTGGAGACCCAGCATGCCCCCAAACATGTAGACCTACAGAGCTTGGGAAGCACCCAGCTCACATCAGCAGCAAGGGTTTGCACAGCTGTTTCCATGGAGCACAAAACTTGGGTCTCAGTTGCCTCAAGAACAAAAAAAGGAAGCTGCTCTTATTCCATACTTCCTTCCATTGATTCTCCTGCATCTAAGCACAGTGAGCAAGACTCTTTCCTGTATTTCAGGGCCCCTCCCTACAGAAAGACACATACCATGCTGGCAAGCTAGTCCTCATGGAGTCTGCCAGAACCACAGCACTGGGCTCCAGGACACCGCTTACTCTCTGGCAAGCAGTCAAACTGGATGGACACTAAACATTCTTTTTCTACAAAGAACTGTGGAAACTCTATTGGGGGATTGATTCATAAAATGAAGGGGTTAGATAAAGATATGTTTAAGACCTCTCCAAGCTCACTCTACTTAGAGCTCTACTGTTACCAAAGCCAGGGCTATACAGTGAGGCTCTTACTCAAAAAAAAAAAAAAATAATAATAATAATAGTAAGCTTATGGTTATAAATGATTTTCAACTAAGAAATGTAAAAAAATGTGCTGGAGGACAAAAATCACCAGGGCTGGGGAACATGTAAACCCAAGGCTGAGATACACAGTAAGCTTGTCCCTTAGCCACCTGTCTAAGGATTAGTCTGCTCCTGGTACCAGGAGGCCACTTAGCAGTGCACCCAGTGGGGCCTGCCACTGCTAGTGAGACTTGGTGACACCTACAGTCTTACTCCCACTGGCAGCTGTTTGCCCCTTCCATCACTGGGGGCTCTGCAGTAAGGGAATAAATATGAATTCTGCTTATCAGTTGTACAGATTCAGACTCAAGCAGGATTCACCTCTGCCATTTGCATCTGGAACTAACCTGAAGCAGTTATGCTGCTGTTTGCTCCAGGTACTTGGACTGGCTTGATGTGGGTGGGCAAGCAAGCAAATGACCAGGCAAGATCATTGGTGACATCATGGTAAGACTGGGTGTGATTCAAGAGACCCAATCAATTCTGGGCCCTGGCATCATCTACAATAGACTACTGTGTTGACTGTACTGGGGTTCTGGATACAGATCATCAGCTGCCCCTAAGGCTATAATGTCCTTACTTGTCAATCCTGAATTTGTCCCTACATCCTAGGACAAGAACCTCAGGCAGGCTTTACTGGGTCCAGTTCTGACATAACTGTCCAGGGTTGGAAGAGACAGAAGAGAGACATTTCCTACCTACTTGGAGGTTAAGACAAAACATGTCTGCAAAGTTGAGCTTGGTAGTTCATGCTTGTAATCCCAGCACTTGGGAGGCTCAGGAAGAAAGAGCACAGTAAATTTAAGTTCAAGGCCAGCCTGGGCTACAGAGACCCTTTCTTAAAAAAAAAAAAAAACAAAAAACAAACAAACAAACAAAAAAACCCAAAAACCTGGGGCTGGAGAGATGGCTCAGCGGTTAAGAACACTGAATGTTCTTACAGAAGATCCGGGTTCAAATCCCAGCACCCACATGGCAGCTAACAACTGTCGGTAATTCCAGTTCTAGGGGATGCAACAGCCTCTTCCGTCCTCTGTGGGCACTGCACGACCTGGGTGCACTTACCTACATGCAGGCAATACACGCATACACATTAAAAACAAAAACAACAACAAAAAAAAACCCCAAACAAAGCAAAAACTGCCTGCAGTAGAATAATTGGGTTCTGCCTTCCATAATAAGACCTCGGAGAACTACCATTTTCATTGTTCCTCATTTTCCCTCTGCTTTTCTGATAGACTAATCCCCAAAGCTAACAGGCCACGTGAGGAAAATAAAACCCTACATCAGGTAAAGAGAATCCTCTATTTACAGAGGAGACAAGTTCACAGCAAGGATACTCACTTGTTCACAATCAGCAGATGACACTGGTAAAGGCCATTTGCTTTCACTAAGTAAAGATGGGCACTACAGCCAAAGCCTACCACAAAGTCACAAAACAAGTCACTCTGAGTGAGACTTTCTCCAAGAAGTCAGGCTGCTCAAAGGAAATCGGATTGTGCTGATCTTGGGGCCTCATCTCAACTAAGAAATTTGGTACTGCCTAGGCAGGCATAAGGTGAACATCACTGTGAGACTTAAAAGTCACCACCCTCCAGCTGCTAGTGAGTCTCGAGAATTAGTCCTTTACCAAGGCTTATCCTAAGGTAACCCACACAGGGGAAGGGGTGGCGAAGTAACTGAAGGGTAAAAATGACCACTGCGGAACTCAGAAAATGTGTATGTGTATTTTACCCACGACTTACTCTACTGGTCGACAGCGCCCGATTTCAATGAATTGAGTCTGAACGGCTGGAACGCATGCAGGATCCAGACCCGAGACCCTTTACCTTCGGGGATACACCTGAGAGACACAGGTCAGTACTGATGTCACCCCCGCAGACGCAACTGGCTGGCCCGTCCTTCTCCCAGGAATGCATTCCTGCGGACCGGGCTGAACCCAAGACACCCACCCAGGCAGGCAAGAAGGAGGCCGGACTTCCTGGTCCCAGGTCAGCAGGCACGCTCTGGGGGGGGAGGGGGGGTCCGCGTCCCTGCCTCCAGCCTGCACTGATCACCCTTCTCCCCGCCTTCGGGGTGCCTCCACACCTGGCAGAGGCGGCCGCAGGGGAAGGGCGGCTTAGCACACTCACCGCACTCTGGGTACTGGTCCGCCCAGTCCCCCGACTGCGGGCAGCCGCCGCCCGCCGGGGCCTCCTGCTGCTGCCGGTACTGCAACTCCTGCTTCAGCAGGGACAGCGGCGAGTAGTGTTCAGTGGCCCGCGTGCAGGCCAGCGCCCCGAGCAGCAGTAGCAGCAGCAGCAGCAACAGCAACAGCGGCCGCAGCGCCCCAACACCCGCGCCGCCCAGGCTGCCACAGCCGCCGGCAGGTGCCATCTTTCCGCACGGCGCAGGCGCGGCCGCGCTTGGCCCACGGCGGGCAGGTGGGTGCGGCGGCCGCCACAGCCCGCTGGGAATCGTAGTCCGCGCCCCGCCAACCTCCGACTTGCGTTTGGCGATTGGACTACAAGTCCCAGCAGATGTTGCGGCGCATCTTCCAATGGGGTCCAAGGAACTTCCGCCAGGGACCGGAATTAGGAGCTCTGGAGTGGACATGGGGACCGGAGGACGCCGCGGTATGCGTTTAGGGAAGGGCGCGGAGGGGGCGACCGCAGTCTCCTACCCCTACCGCTGCATCGAGTGCAACCAGGAGGCCCAGGAACTGTACCGGGACTACAACCACGGCGTGCTGAAGATAACCATCTGCGTGAGCGCGCCTGGGGCCGGGCGGGCGGATCTAGACCCGTTGAGTACCGGAGCTGGGAGGGGGCGAGGCGCGGATGCGCCCACACGTGGGGGAGGAGTGGTCCTTGTGACCGTGGGAAGAAAGCAAAGATGTTCCTGAGGACATTGACTGGGCCACAGATGTTCTAAGATGTGTGACAGCCTGCTGGTGCATGGCACCCGGCACTCGAGTGGTGGAGGCAAGAGGATCGTGAGTTCGTTGCCAGCTTGGACTTAGTAGACAGACCCTGTCTCGAATGAATGAATGATGGAGAGAGATGTAAGACAATCAGGCCTTTACTAAGGCTCCATTCTCTTGGGAGATGGACAATGTAGCAGGAAATGTATCGTGCTTATGTTGAACCTGAGGAGATAGAAGCAATGTTTGGGGCCGGGTGCTGTAGGGATTTCTTAGAGGAAAACTGCTTTTCAGGGGACTTGCCAATCAGTTAGCAAATAATCTGGAATGGAACAGTTCGCTAAAGTAGAAAACATTTTCTAGGGCCAGAGATGCTGCTCAGTTAATGGGGTGCTTTCCTAGCATGCATGAAGCCTGGATAAAGCCACAGACATGGGTGGAACTTTCTTGTAATTCTTGCACTTGGGAGGTGGAAGCAGGAGGACCAGAAGTTCTGGCATCTTCAACTACATAATGAGTTTGAGGCTAGCCTGGGCTATAGGAGACCCTACCTCAAAAAAGAAAATTTACTAAACTACCAAGCCTAGCTCCCAGTGAGGTGTTCGGCTACCTTTGTCCAGGGTGTGTTTCCTACTTACCTTCAAAGTGAAGGAGGAAAGAGTGAATGAGGAGTGATAGGAGAGCAGGCAGCTGACTTACTGTACTCACTGTTGATGGGATGCTGTGGAAGGAGGATAGACAGGGCAAGGCATGTCAAGTGGTACAAGAAGCAGCCTGACATCATGTCATTTCATTGTAACGCTCCTCAGGTGGCATGGTGGCATGCTTTCTCACTCCTATAAGGTTCCAGAGGTTAGCGAATAGGGGCTGCTGGTTCTTAGCATCTTGGAAGTGCCTGGCCCAGGAAGTAGCTGAGGAAGGAGCTTTTGTTACACTGTAACATCTACCACCCAGGCATCTGACTAACAAATGAAGGAGAAGCAAGTTTCTGGGCCTGGAACTCCTGATGCTAGAATTTGACTTCCTGCTTCTAAAAACTGTCCATCCTCCAGTCTTAATGAATGTGTGGTGCTGTCTGAAAATGAGATTTAGAGAGCTTTTAAAGAGAGGAGGACCCTGGCCTCTTACCACTGAGCCTCATGCATGAGGGGAGGAGGTTGGGAATCTGGGAAAAAGTCTTTGTCCTGAACTTGAGATTTCTGAGTGTGGCTTCTCTTTTGGTACCAGCTCACTCTTTGCGCAGGTAAACTGGGAAAATGTGAACCCCTTTGTCTCCATTTTGTCAGGGAGATTGACATCTGAGGGAGTAGCACACCTACTGGTTCACTTGGTGACTGGAAAAACATACCATATTGGATGAAACAGAGAAACTCTTGCAATTGAGAGTGGATCCTGCCAGGCATGGTAGTGCATGCCTTTAATCTGAGCACTCAGGAGGTAGAGGAAGGCAGATCTCCATGAGTTCAAGGCCAGCTGGGAGACCCTGTCTCTAAAAGACCAAAAAAAAGAAGAAAGAAAAGAAAAGAAAAGAAAAGAAAAGGGAAAGGGAAAGGGAAAGGAGGAAGGAAGGAAGAACCTGTTTGAATTTGAAGTCCAGGGTTAAGATTCCCCAATGCACTTGACTTTTCTTCTGGGTTTTGACTAACTGAAAGGCCCTCCTAGTATGTGTTCCTATTACATCTACTTCTGTTTTATCCTGTCAGCCTTTCAAAATGACCAGTTTGAATTGTAGCCATTCAGTTTTTGCTGTGAATGGTTGCATTGGTGCAGCTTTGAACCTAACACTGTCTCACATGTCCATGGATTGGGACTTGATTACACTGGATCCATGTGTCTACAGAACCAGCTCTGAATTGGCCTTTCAGGGTAGGAGTGTGGAGGGAACCCCTTTGGAATCTGAGGGAGTCTTTATCTTGGTGACCCAGAACCAACCCAAGTCTGTGCATGCAGTCCAGTGCTCCAGCAAAGAGACTCCATTTTCCTTCCAGGCTTAGGATTGCCGGCACTGTACCCTGCTCTGGATCCACCTGGAGCTCTCAAAGCTTTGCTGAGCACCTTTCTCCAAATCCCATTTCACTAGCCACAATCTGGACTACAGCCAACAACTTGTCAGTGAAAGTGCATTAGAGATATTTTTTTTTAACAATTTATATAACTGAAAGTGAAATTTGAGAACAGGATCTTCTGAGAAAGTTTTGTGCCGAGTGGGTCTTTAAATCAAACTTTTCTAGTTTCTTTCTGCTTTAGTTTGTTTCTTGAAACAGGGCTTCCCTGTGTAGACCATGCTGCCCTCAAACTCAGGATCGTCTTCTTCTATCCACTGGGATTACAGGTGTGTGTTACCATACCTGGCTTTCTTTTTAGATTTCTGAATATGAATTAAAAATATTAACATTGGCTTATATTTAGCCATGGTGAAGCCACTCACAGAGGTAAACATTTTTATCTGAGGGGAAGTTTATTTAAATAAATGCTGATACATTTAGACATGGAAAAGTCTAAAACTTGCTTTCATTTTTAAGTCCCTTAATGTTTTAGAATGTGACTTTGTTTTCTTTAATATTATCTTGTGTCCTTTCAGAAATGCTGCCAGAAACCGGTAGACAAATACATTGAGTACGATCCTGTGGTCATCTTGATTAATGCTATCCTATGTAAAACCCAGGCCTATCGGCATGTGCTCTTCAACACAAGGATAAATGTGAGTTGTGGTAAATTAAAAAAAAAAAAAATTAGCATTACTTGATGCTTTTGCATTTTAGAGGAGAAATAATTTCAAACAGAATTCAAACTGGAGAATTTTTTTTTTCTTTCTTTTTTGGTGTGTCTGGAGGTTTCTAGAAATAATAGGTGCAGAGTTAAAAGGGGGCAGTGCTTAGTGACTTTGAAGGATGTGGTCACAGTTAGAAGTTGACAACCATAGTTTGGATTGCCTTTAGCAGATAACACTGAGCAGAGTAAAACTAAGCATATCTAGGTAGGTGTATGACTTACTTAGTTCATTGCTGTGACCAAATATTTGACAGGAAGCAACTTCAGGAAAAAAAGGTTTCTTTGGGCCTGCAATTTGAGTGTGCCGTCCATTGAGATGGGAAGGCATGGGTGACAAGAGCATGGAGCGGCTTGTTCACATTAGGTGGGTCAGGAAGCAGGGAAAGGGGAGCGCCAGGGCTTTGCTGGCTTCTCTTTTGTCCCAGTCCAGGGCCCAACCCATGGGATGATGCTACCCACAGTCAGGGTGGGTCTTCCCTCTTCATTTAACCATCTTAGCAAACATCCTCACAGACACACTTGGAGGTGTGCCTCACTGGTGCCCTAGGTGTTTGTTTGTGTTGCTTTGCTTTGTTTTATGTGTATGGGTGTTATACCTTCAGGGTAAGTGCACCCGTGTCATGCAGTTCCGGAGGAGGACAGAGGAGGGCATCAGATCCCCTAGAACTGGAGTTACGAACAGTTGTTAGCTGCCCTGTGGGTGCTGGGATTCAAACCTGGGTCTTCTTCAAGAACAGCCAGTGATCTTAACTCTCTCCATCTCTGTTTTTAATCTAATCAAGTTGACAATGGAAATTAGCCAGCACAGTAGGAGACAACTGTACTTAAAAGAAGCAAACATTAAAAGAAACTTTTTAAAACCAAATTTATTTCATTTTTGACTCTGCTGTAGAGAATGCATGAGATGAATAACAATGCTGCCATTAGTCTGAAAGATGCTGATTTATAAGATTGGGGTTTTCAGAATGTACATTTGGCTTACTGAACTGTAAGTTATTTAATAGTTTGAGTTGGCTTGACAAGTAAAATATAAGACATCCAGTTGAATTTGAAAATTGGCTGAACAATGAAATTTTCTAGCATAAGTTTGGTCCAGTCATTACACAGAACAGACTACCACAGAACAGAGTATTTGTTGTGGATCTGAAACTCATATCTAACTGGGCTCTTGCATTTTAGTTTGCTTAACCTAGTACCTTAACTTTGGGCAGATGTAGACACGACAGTGTGTCTACCTTGCCCAACCCCTGAAATAATCAAGGAGTTTTAAGTGACCAGGTTTTTGCACTTGCCTCCACATTGGGAATCACTTGGAGTTGGGAAAACCCCTACTCCCCCAGAACATCTCAGTCATCTTCATGGATGGCTTTGGGAGGTTTTTTGACTCCCCAGGTGATTCTAGAATGCAGCTTTCTGAGGAGCATCAGAATCTGAGATGGGGTCAGGTTGGGTTCACAGGATGCCTTCTCTTCCCCACTGTAGGTTACTGGAGAAAGTTCAGTTTACAAGAGGAATATTCAGAGGAAAAAGCCCAATTCTTATTGCCTGATATTTTCTGTTAGTCAGCATTGCAGAGTCTTAAGAGCATCCAGCTTATTTCTGTCCTATAGTTCTTCTCTTTCAGTACTGACTTAATAGTCATTCAGCCTAGAGGCTTTATTTTTAATTCATGTTCAGATTGATAGTTTATATGGTGTCCCGGGACCTTCAGGTTAAAGTTGTCTTCTTTGCTGTTTCCTCTGTATGTAGTCTCATAAGTTTTGTGCTTGTTAGCTATGTGTGGAACAGATACTGAAAGTGGGGCTGGAGAGATGGCTCAGCAGTTAAGAACACTGATTGTTCTTTCAAAAGACCTGGATTTCCATCCCAGCACTAACACGGCAGCTAACAACTGTCTATAACTCCAGTCCCAGGGAATCTGACAGTCTCTTCTGACCCCGAGGGCATTGCGTGACACGAGTGCACTTACCTACATGCAGGCAATACATGCATACACATAAAAATAATAAATAAAAATTTTTTAAAAAATATGCTGAAAAGTGAACTGTTAGAAGCCGCATTTTCCAACTAGGGGTGCATATTACAGTCTCCCCCAGGAATCGCTGAAAAATACACCTGTCCAGGTTTTCCTCCCAAAGATCTGATTCAGGTCTGGGTCCTAGATGTTTGCGGTTTGACAACCCTCCCGTGTGCTTTGAATGGATGTTGCCAATTAAGAACTTCTGATTTACAGAGTGAATGCAATTAGCCAGTTAATAACATTGGAAAGTCTACGTGGGCATCCTTCAAATATACAGCTGCTACGTTGCATGTGGGGTGCACGTCTTTAATCCTAGCACTTGAGAGGCTGAGGTAGGATTGTCTGGAGTTCCAGGCCAGCCATGGCTAGATAGTGGCACTATGTCTCAAAAGCCAAGACAGACACTTCATCTGCTTAGCTGTGGTGTGCCTGTTGGTGTGCAGTCAGCCGAATGCTTCTTCACCTGACCCCACGGCACTGTCTTTGATTGTCAGATCCATGGAAAACTCTGCATGTTTTGTTTGCTTTGTGAGGCATACTTGAGGTGGTGGCAGCTGCAAGACTCAAACCAACACACGGATCCTGACGACTTGATCCACTATGCCAAGGAGTGGGATTTCTACAGGATGTTTGTGATTGCTTCTTTTGGTAAGTAGATCCAGTGCTCTCTGTTCTTTATTTACTAGCACCTAGCTGTTCTGATTAAAACTAAGACATGTGGTAAGAGAGAGCTAGTTCATACAGGACTGGGACTAAATTTTCAACCCTGCCACTAACCTGCTTGCTTTGTTGCCAAACATGTAGTAGAGAAATAGATTTACCAGTTAGGAAGTTTTATAAAATGTTTTAAAGCATAATGTTGTTGTCATTTTTATGTTCTGATTATTCAGCTTGAAGATTACATCAAACCCCCTCCTTATTGAAAAAAGATAATAATTGCCTGGCATTTCACAGTGCATTGTGCAAACTGCATCCCACAGATATTTAACAGAAGTTTGCTGCTTGTGGGACCCCATACAAAGGAAGTGGGCTACTCTCCAAACTTACATGTGTTCGGAAAGTGCCTTTCATCCCCATTGTAGCTTATCTTTCTAGGGTGAGAATTGTACTGAATTAATTTCTGTGATGACTTTATTTTGAGTTTCCATCCTTGTCTGCTTTAGAATTTTGACTTGAGCCAGGTTGTGGCACCCACCTATACTGCTTGCTGCTACTTTGGGGACTGAGGCAGGAGAATTGCTGGAATCCAGCCATATTGAGGTCAATCTAAGCAACACAATGAGACTCCATCTCAAAAATAAGTAAAAGATAAATAATCCTTCAACTAATCATGGCAGTATTTTAGGAACTTTCTGTGTGTGGTGCCCCCTCCATGTATTATTCTGGACCAAGTGTCCTCCTCTGTCCTCTCTTCTCTGCCATTATCTTTCCTGTCTGGTCCTCTCTTCTGTCTGCTCAGAACTCCCAGGTATCCACGTCTGATGTAGCACTTTCTCCTGACCTCTGGACCCTGTGTCCACCTGCTTCCTTCCAGCTCCACTGGACAGCTAGTAAGTCACTATCTCCAGACCTGGTCCTCCTCTGCCTCTGCCCACAGCCTTCTGCCCCAGCCACAGGGACTCTGATAGTTGCCAAGACCAAAGCCTGGGGGTCCCCACATGAAGCTTCTCTCTTTGGAACCCACAGTTAGGTCATCAAGAACCTCACTGTTTCACCTTCAGAATTCTGTCCCTTCTCCCTGCTGCCTCCACTGCTGGACCTGATGCAAACTCAAGTGTCACAGTTCAGTCCTAGCTTTGTTCCTGGAGGTTGTCCCAGCCCTGTTCCCAAAGGTTGTTACCCACACAAGAGGCTTATTTTTCGGATAAGCCCAATCCCCATGCAGCTCTTCACTGACATATGGCTGTCCCCAGCTCTCCAACTGTCCCATGGAGGTCCCCAGTGTGTCAGTAGTACCCTACACACAGCAGATACTTAGAACTGTTCAGTTCAGCCATGTGGTACTGCTTATCTTCAGAATGCATTCATCTGTATCATCTGCAAGAAGACAGTAACTCCCTACTTGATGCAGAGTGACAGCTGGGGTCTTTACAGTGATCCAAGGCCCAACCTCCCATTCACCACATTTTACCTACTGCCACCACTCAGGCCCACTGCCACCCAGCCCCTCTGGTGAGCACTCTTCAGACACACCAACTGAGCCTACAGCTGGTGACCTTTGAATTGGCTTTTCCCTCTGCCCCAGTGCTTGTCCCTTGTGTCCCCATGTCTGACTTCCTCATGTCTCTCAGGCCTTGGCTTAAATGTCATCTTCTCAGTGATGCATGAACTGTGGTCAACCCTGCCAGGGCCTCCTGGACATTCTGGACTCCCATCCTGCTCTGCTTTGCATGCCTCTGTCAAGGTGCTCAATTACAGCAGGCGCTATGATTATCATCAACTTCTTAATGATTTGCCTCCCCCCACGTACATCAAACCCAGTAAGTGCCCAGTTCTTTGTTTTGGTCACTCAGGCAGCTGGAGCACTAAGGAAAGTGCCTGACTGTTAGCTGCTCAGGAGGCATTTCCAAGGTGACTAGCACACGCCATTACTTAGATTCAGATTATTCATTCACTGACCATTATCACTCACTTTCTTAAGAACTGTTGGCTGTTTGTGTACTCGACATTGGAGAGCATCCATGAAGAATACACAGATGGTCTTTGATTTGCTTACTCAGGCTTATGACTGTAATAACCATGATGTATAGTCAGCAATTTAGATATAATTTGGGCTCTGATGTAACTTAGAAAACCTTACTGTGAATGTTTCTGTATTGTCTATTTAATACATGAAATGTACAGAAACAGTAATATTAAACAGTAATATTAAAAATACCCAAGCATATTCCTTAACACAGGAGCTAGAATGTAAAGCTTTATTGGATATGGTGGCTGTAATCCAGAACTTTGAGGTGGAGGCAGGAAGGTCACAAGTTACAGGCCAGCCTGGGGAACTTAGCAACACTGTTTTTACTCCCTACCTCCCACCCCCAAAAAAGCCCTCTAAAAATCATTGCAGCAGGATGTGACAGCCAGGGTGTGAGAATAGGTGTGAATGTGTGTGTAAGGAAGAAAACTTGGCATTGTTGCAGTATTTCTAAAGAAATCAGCTAAGGCGTTCTACATTGGAGTTAGGACTTGTTTTCAGGGGATAAGACTTGGATGGAGACATCTGTTTTCTCATTTGCTCCATAGAACAAGCCGCCTTTTTCATTGGCATTTTTACTTTCCTGTGGGTAGAACAACCCATGACAGCAAAAAAAAAGCCCACATTTGTTTTACTGCTGAAAGCGCTGCTGTTGTCCAGCTATGGGAAGCTCCTACTGATCCCAGCCATCATCTGGGAACACGACTACACACCTCTGTGCCTCAAGCTCATTAAAGTGTTTGTCCTGACATCCAATTTCCAGGCAGTGAGAGGTAATGTGCCTTCATTCTCCTTGTCTGCTTCCAGATTCACAGATGTATGGTGTTCCCTAGCTGTCCACTGATATGTGGCTGTCCCCAGTTCTCCACAGATTCATGGAAGTCCTCAACTCTCCATTGACCCATGGTAGTCTCCAGCTCTCCATAGCTCTCCATAGACCCATTGCAGTCCCCAGCTGTCCTAGCTCTCCACTGACATATGGCTGTCCCCAGCTCTCCAACTGTCCCATGGAGGTCCCCAGTGTGTCAGTAGTACCCTACACACAGCCCACACTTAGAACTGTTCAGTTCAGCCATGTGGCACTGCTTATCTTCAGAACACTCTCATCTGCATCATCTGTCCTGTGGGCTAGGTGGCATTTTGAATGGGTTTGAAGGGCAGTGAGGGGTAAGGGGCTTGTGCTGAGTATTAGTCACTTTTCTGTTGCCGTGATAGAAACACCATGACCAAGGGAACTTTAAAAGGAAGAGTTTATTTAGCTTAGGGTTCCAGAAGGGCAAGAGTCCATCATGGTAGAGAGGCATGGCAGCAGAGGTGGCTGGGACAGAAAGAAGAGCACTCACATCTTCAGGCACAGAAAGCAGAGTGTGACTTGAGATCTGGCAAGGCTTAAGAACTCTCCAAGCCTGTTCCCAGTGACGTTCTTCCTCCAGCATGGCCACACCTTCTAAGACCTCCCAAAACAGTGCCACCAACTGGGGATGAAAATGTCCAAATACTTGGAGCCTGGAGGGGGCGGGGGGCGGGATTGCATTCTCATTCAAACCACCACAAGCAGTTATAAGACTGAGCAGTTGACTGGCAAGTAAGAAATGCCAGGTGCCTGCCTCCCACACCAGAGCAATTTCTACCTGCCAGAAAATGGGTTTTCATTTTTCAGGCACTGTAAAAACCTGAACTTTTGATCACAGTGCTGCTTGACTAGAGCTGATACTGCAAATATTTGCTTTATAACCTTGGAGTTGGTTATTTTCCCTTTAGTAGTTTTGTTCTTTGAGACAGAATCTCTGTAGCCCAGGCTGGCCTCAAAGTCATGGCCGTTCTCCTGGGAGTCCAGGTGGGAGCCACCACAACTAGCTGTATTTCCCTTTATTTTATGGGCCTCTCCCTCTTTGCTGGATGTTTGTGTTAGAAGTAGAGGTTTTGGTTCAGGAGGATGAAACAGCTTAGACTCCTAAGAACAGGTACGAGTTTCTTCTAATAGCAGTTCCCACACCCATGTAGTTCACAGGCCCTGTCATCAGGTAACTTCCTTGGACATCCTGCTGCCTTTGTTTTCTAGTGACTCTGAACACCAGCCGCATGCTCTCCCTGCTGGCAATACTGAGCGGCTTGCTGATGGAGAGCATCATGGTCTACCTCTTCCAGAGGATGAAGTGAAATGTAGGCAGTGACTGTGCATCTACAAGTCTCAGGACTTCTGAAGGTATTGGGAGCATCTAGGGACACTGTTGTATTAACTTTCCCTGGGAGGTGTGAAAAGCATCATCTACTCACCCCACATGGGGCACCAGCCACAGACCAAAAAAATGATTGTATCCAAGTCTGTGAACCAGTGGGTTTAGTTGGTGTCCTAGTTTGTTTCTTCATTGCTGTGACAAAACACTCCGACCACTACCAACTTGGGGAGGAAAGGGTTTAATTGTCTTACATCTCTCAGGTCACAGTTCATCACTGAGGGAGGCAAGGGAAGGAACTCAGGACAGGAGCTGGAGCACAGGCCATGGAGGAACACTGCTTACTAGCTTGCTCCCCTGGCCCCTGGTCAGCCTGCTTTCTTGTGCAACACAGGCCCACCTGCCCAGGGGTGGCACCACCCACAGTGGGCTGGGCTCTCCCACATCACACAACAAAGAAGATACCCCACAGACATGGCCACAGGCCAGTTCAGTGGAGGCAATTCCCCAATTGAGGCTCCCTCAACCTGGGTGTGTCAAGTTGACACTAAAGCTATCCAGCACAGTTGGGGTTACTGAAAGGAGCATGGGCAACTTATGGATAGCTGAACCACTGAAGAAAGTTTCTTCTCAGCATCTACTAACTGCCTATGTATCCTGAGGAGGGACAGGGCCTTGCAAGCCCCTCCTCCCATGACTGCATGTTAATAAACCCAATCTAACACAGGTCTCACACAGTAATCACAGCTGCTGAGAGTTCAAGAGAGCAGTGGCCCTGTGTCTGGAGGAGCATTCCACAATAATCCTGTATTCAGACACCTGTCCTCCTCAGCTACATAGCAGGCAGTGTGGTTGAGTAAATGCTGCACATGACTCCTCCCCTCACACCTTACTACCCCTGGCGACCCCATCTTCTACTAGAACTAGAGTGCCTGCTCCCTGGGTTCTTCCCTTGACTTTCCTTTGTTCCCTTCGGTGACAGCAACTTCCCTGTCTATTGCTTCTGGGATCCTGTCCTTGCAATCTAACCCTTTCTGACCCTTGCTGGGACTGCAGGATCTGACTGCATCATCAGTGGCTGTCAGCTGCCCCACTCCCTCCCTCAGCTCCTGCTTACCAGTCCCCTCACCTCCAGCCTTCCCTCTGCTTCTGACCTGCTCTGCCTCTATACCACATCTGGACCCTGGAGGCTACTGCTGAGCTGTTCTCTGCCAGGCCCTTGAAATTTACTCACTTCCTGCCTTCATTGGGTCTGCCTTCCCTTTTGTGTCTGCACAGGGTTCAAGCTTCTTGAGCTGGCTGTCTGCAGGTCATGTGACCTCAGCAGGACTCTTGGTGAACTCTGGGAATCCTCCTGTCTAAGGCCCTGCAAGTGGAGTTCTGATCCCTACCTGCTTCTCAGCCCTGCTGCCTCCCTAAAGCCCTCAGTCATCCACAAATGTCCGTTCTCTCCATCTTGTACTCTGCCATGTACAGCTCCCTCTAGGACTGTTTCTGACCTGTGAGTCCCCTTTCCTGCACATGAGGAAGCAGGATCCAGGGGTGAAGAACAGAGGCAGGAGGACCTGCATGAGGGAAGGAAGGCCACGCTGTGGCTCATGTCCTCCTCAGTCTTCATCCACTGTGCATGCAAAACTCTGAGCCCCTTACTCACCCTGCGCTGCCTCCTGCCACTGTTTGAGCCAGTTGACATTATTCCTTCTGGGTCTCCCTAAGTGCTGCTGCTCGACCTGTCCCCTGTCCATTAGTGTGTTCCCTTGGCCTGAGTACATTGGTAGCTCTTTATTCTAGAATCCTGAGCTGCTTCACTCACTGCTTTCCTCTTGGTGAAAGACTCCTCACTTCCTGGATCTGCAGTCCTGAACTTCTCAGGGATGCTGGGGCTGCACTGTATGGTCCTCCCTGTGAAGCCCGGTCCCTTTCCATCAGACATGCCTCCCTGCTGGTGCTGGAATTCCAACCTCACACTCCCTTCCCTCTTGCAACCTTGTGGGCCTGCTAGATCCCTGCCTCCAGCTCTCCTCCACATAGTCCTGGGCCCTGTCCCCTGCATGACAGTCCATGAGTTTGAGTGTAGTCTTCCATCTGCCCTAGGCCGGATCTACGCCCCCCTCATCCTGCTGCTGTTCAGCCTCTGCAGGATGCCACATGTACTCCTGGGTTTAGACACTGCTCCACAGCTCACCTTGGTGCCTCCTACCTGGTAGAACCCATAGTCGCTGCCGTCAAATTCTAGCCTAGGACACCAAGGGCTAACATTTCCTCTTGCTGTTACAGTTCTTCTGTGTATCTGACTGTCCTCTGTAATTTATAGTCAGGAAAATGAGCTCACAAGTCCTGAGAACTTGTGCTTTGTTCTGTGTCTTCTTGAAATTCCACCTGGGAGAAACCATGCCTCAGGCTTCCTGTGCTCATGATGGCCATGGCCAGCCTTGAAAGCATTTCCCTGTGGTGGTTAGAATGGGCCCTTCAGAGTCTCCCTCTGTTGTCCACAGCTTTGTTCTTTACTCTGTGGAGTCCAGCAGCATGGAAAAAGAAGACATGACAGGCGTCAGGCTCCTCACATTGTGTGAGTGGAGTGACACTAAAACTGAGGAGCACTTCTAAAGAAGGAAGCCCTGGCCCTCCCACCCCAGCTCCCCTGGGAAGTTCTGAACCACCTAGACACAGCACTGAAAACGCACAGCCATGGGAGTGGCCACAGGCACTGGGTGAGATGCAGGAAGACTGAGCATCATGGAGCCCCGGACAAGCACTGTTCTCCAGTAATGAAGGATCTGGCTTCTAGTCCTTTGATGTGATTGTATCTTTTAAATCTAAATATTACATTACTGGCTGAAAATATTTTGTGTTCTTCCAACAGGGGAAATACTTTTTAAATAGTTTTTCAATATAAACCAAGTTCCTGTATATTTTCAATTCAGTAACTAAGTTCCTCTTTTAAATTGGCTGATCCAGAATAAAACTACTGGATGGTACAACCTAGGGGTAAGTTATATCCTGATAAAGCTCTTGCTTAAAATGGGTGCAATAGCCCAACCTACCCTTCCATAGCTTTTTTTGTTTTTTTCAAAAAGACAAGGTCTCACTCTCTGGCCCATAACTGTTTTCAACTTCTGGGCTCAGGTGATCTTCCTGCCTCAGCCTTGCAAGTAGTTGGGGCCGCTGGCACTCAGCATTGTGGCCAGTTCTCTTGTTTGTTATTCATCCCTTCTGTTGATTGCATACTGTATGTGAATGGTGGATCTTTGTGTAAGGTAGGTGAGGATGGCCCTCTGTAACCTTACTACACAGTGATGGGTTCACAAGTTGAAGAAAAGAACTGAAGTGCTAGGAAAGGAAGGAGGAAACCCTGATGTTACTGAGACTGGGGCAAGTCCAGAGAGGGAGGAGAGTGAAGGGCTTCCTGGCACCCCTGGTGGGTATGTAGCCCTCAGTCCCTCCTGGAAGAGTGCAGGGACAGACAGTAAGTAGGTCCTGGGGTTTGAAATGACACGAGGATGCCGCATAAAGGTTGGGCTCTGGGGCCTGGTGAATCCAAGTGTAAAATCAACTGAGGGCTGAACAGGTAGCTTAATGGATAAAGGCACTTGCTGCCAACCCAATGCCCCGAGTTCAATTCCTGAGACCCACAGGGTAGAAGGAGAGAACTGACTAACAAATTGTCCTGTGACCTCCACAGGAGTGCAGTGGCCTATATCACACAAACATAAATAGATGTTAAAAAAAAAAAAAAAGTTTTTTAAAAATCAACTGGGGTGACCCCTCAGATATCACCAGAATATGGAAAGGACTGTTCCCCTGTTCTTGTACCAGGTTACCTGTACAAGAGTGAGACCTAAGCAGGCCTGGCTCAGGAGGACCAGCAGATGGTAAAGGCCAGTAGGTGTCAAGAGCTGAGGTGTGGCATGCACAGGCCCCAGGGTCTAGCCCAGCACCAAAAAGCCCAGCAAAAAGTGTTAATACTGATGAAAGATTTGCAAAGATAGAGGTGCACCCGTTTACAGACCCATACTCAGCACACCCCTATTCTTTTTTGGCCATAACAAAAGTAACCTTACAAAGTGGGACTGGAAAAGTAACTCATGGTTAAGAGCACCAACATGGTGGCTCACAACTGCAGTTCCGGGGGACCCAGTGCCCTCTTCTGGCCTCCATGGGCATTGCACACACGTACCTATACACATGGAGGTAAACACTCCTGCACATAAAATCAATCCTTAAAAAGAAAAAAAGACTCAAGGTCCTTGTCTTTGGTGTGTGAGCAGTGGCCAGCTAAGCTCTGTGGTAGAGGCTGGCCCACACCCCAAGGTCCAAAGGAAGCCCATGTGGTCCAACTTAATATCATGACATCACTACAGCGAGAAAAGGGTGAAACTAGGAAGCCAGCAGCCAGTGGCATGAAGGGTAGGGGCCTCTTTTCACTCTGCCTTCCCACACCTAAACCTAGGGTTCCTTGTTGCTGTCAGCAGCCCCCAATGCTTTTCAGCCTCTTTAAAAAATTTAAGGTTTATTGTTTTTAGGTATGGGGGGGGGGTCTGTGCACATGCGTGCAAGTGCCCTCAGAGGATCCGTTGGAACTGGAGTTGAAGGTACTTACGAGCCGCCTCATAAGACAGAAGCTGCTATGCACACCTGTAGGGGATTTTCTTTCCAAGTAGAATGACACCCCCCCATGTGCTTGGCACCTCCCCCGGCAGCCCAGATGAAGGGAGGAGGTCCCTGGGAAGGCTGCTCTTTGCCTGCGTGCCCTTGGGTTGTTCATCCACCCTACTGTTGTCATTGAAACACAGCTTTTTCAGCCCTCCAATGAGGACTGAAGCCCCGTGGCTCTCCAGGAGCCCTCCAGTATGGGATGCACGCTCTCTCTGGGCGCACTCCCAGAATGGCACGGCGGATCTGCAGGCTCCCCCGCTCTGTGTCTGGAGGAAAGCTGGTCTGGTCCTGCGGGCTTCTCTGTGTCTCTATGGGCCTCAGGTGTGGTATGCGCGGGTATCTCGGGGTCCCCGCCACACCTGGCTAGTCGCTGGCAGGTCTGGCCACAGGCGTCTCTGGAAGCTTCTCTGCTGCAGGAACGTTGTCCTGCCGAAATCCTGTCCCTATTCCACCCGTGTACTTTTCCTCAGGATGCGAGGTCCACTGGCCACCTGGACCTCGTGGGAAAAGTACGAGGACAGCGAAAGCTAGGATGTCCGCAAGTCGGTCAGGTCACGAGGGAGTGCACCCCCCGGAGAGGCTAGGTCGCCGGTAGTAAGGCACAGAACTCAAGACTTGGCTTAGTCTGTGTTACAGCTTTATTAAGTGTCTCTGCTCTCAGTAATTCAGCAGCGCTGTGACCCAGCTCTCTGTCTATTAAGAGAAAACTAGGATACTTATACCATGGGGGTAGTGGTAAAAGCTTTGGCTGTTAGATGCTTTGTGAGGCATTCTATTTACATATGGAAGTGGGTTTCTGCCAGACTGCTGTCTGCCTGGAGAAATTACAGGAAGGCATGGTACCTTTCAGAGCCAAAGGCCATGTTTATGCTAGAGCATTTGAGGCGGTCACTTCAAAAGGAGTGTCAGAAAAGATGCCAGGAAGGCACCCTGCTATGAAAGGAGCCCTCAGCACATGATCCCGAGCTGCATGAGCTGTCCGGTCGTGAAGAGACTTCTACTTTGCATAACAGAGGTCTCCAACACTCCAGGCCTTTGGGACTGGGACTGCTGAGGCACCAGCTTCGTGGACTGAGTAGCTACTGGCGTCTCAGTCTCTCCAGGGTGAAAACAACCATTGTTGGACTACCCAGACCTATCGTGAAAGCCAGGCCAATCCCCTTTTAGTGTGTATTTGTTCTGTCCTGTTCCTCCAGAGAACCCAGACTAATACAACCTCCCACCTCCAACACATACCAAATTGACATGTGGCCAAACAACTAAAAATTTATTTATATGAAAAATCCAAATGAAGGTACACAAATCACTCTTTGATGTACTACCTTTATTAAAAAGAACATCTGGTAAGATGGCTCTGAGGGGACAGTGCCTGCAGCAGAGCCTGACCATCTGCAAGGTTTTAGCATGAGGACCTGTGTGGTAGGAGGAGAAAACCAACTTCCACAAGTTCTCACAACTCTGTACACATGCCATGGCATGCCTGCCCATACATATATGCACACGTACTCCACATACACACACACACACACACTAAATATGTAGTTTTTTTAAAAAAAATTTTTTAGGGGCTGGAGAGATGGCTCAGCGGTTAAGAACACTGGTTATTCTTGCAGAAGACCGGGGTTTGAATCCCAGCACCCACATGGCAGCTAACAACTGTCTGTAACTCCAGTCCCAGGGGATCTGACAGCTTCTTCTGACAGCCTCTTCTGACCTCCACAGGCATTTCTGGACACGGGTGCTCTTACCTACATACAGGCAATACACACATAAACAAAAAAAGAAGAAAAAATTTTAAGCTAAGCACATGCATGCCAGCCACTGCAGAAAACCCGCCTCATACCAGTTATAAACGCTGAAGCCAGGTATGGCCCTTGCCTATAACCCTGGCAATTGGGAGGCTGAGACAGGAAAATGAAGTGTTTCAAGCCAGCCTGGGTCACATAGTATGACCCTGTATCAAAGAAACCTTAAGCTCTGACAGCATGTTCTGCTGCTTTTGTTTTCAGTGGAACCGTGACAGAACATGCTGTTAGGAGCAGTGCAGTACAGGCCACTGCAGTCACAGGGAGGGACAAGTGACCTTGTCAGCAGATTCTTTACTGTGTTTGAAGCCCTCTGTACTGAACTGGGGGACAGTGTGGTACATGAGCCCCAAAAAATGTTTTTAGGTATTTATAAGACAGTATTAATCACAAAGCTTAAAGATGTTTTTGAAACCACAGAGTGGTTAAATTAGAGTGTTTAAAGGAAATGCTCAGGGCCACAAGGGAGAAGTGACAGAATCCAGTTACCTTGGTCTTGGTCTGATGGGCAGCCTCTGGCTCTATCTGTAGCCTTTTGGCAGGTCTCTGGTGATCTGCCTGCCTTTGTTAAGAAAGAAGGTAATTTTTATTCTTCAAATACAGTACAGGAAAGGGAGACCAGAAGTTTTGATAAAACAGAACTTACTTGACCAGAGCAAGGTTTCAGCATGAGTCTGTCTTGCAGGGAAGCAGCTATGGATAGAGGTGAGCATTTTGCAGTAATCTGTCAGCAAACACCATGACCCTTCAGAGTGGTAATGTGGCCTCTGGTACCTAACCACAGCCATCTTTATAAAATGGGAACATATTCTGAAGGAAATAGTTTTTACCTCAAGACTAAGATACCCATAGCTCCAGAAGCATCAACAGAGGAAGAATCCCTAAAGCAAGAACCTTGGACCCCAAACAGGATTTCACCTTACCTCCATTTAAAAACTAACTGCATGTCCTGATCAACTTGTTGAGTTCTGCAGGCACTGTTTTAAGTGTGTCACAATTAGGGTTTAGTTCCTGTAATGACTAGAAACAACCCTCAACTAAATTGGCTCTCAGGAATATTTCCGAGTGTGTTGAAAGGGTGAGAACAGCACTGGGTCCTCAGGTTGCATGTCAGTGGCTCTCTGTGGCCCAGGTGATGAGCTGTAGAAGAGAACATGGAGGTGTCCAGGAAGTCTATGCTGGGTACCTGCAGCTGAAGGAGGTGGCAGGGAGTCTAAAATCAAGATTCCCAAGTGTGTCTGCATGGCCATGCACCATCTAGAGGCTCTAACTTCCACTAGCTGCTGTGGACACTCCCAGACTTGTCACTGGCCATCATTCCATTCTCCATTTTTAGGGACCCCTCCAATGAAGCATCTCTATACGTCCCCTTGTGAGACCCCACTGGTGGCACCTGGGATCCATCTAGGTAATGGAGAGTAACTCCATTTCAGGGTCATTAATCACCTCTGCGAAGGCCTTTCCTGCAACTGAGGCACAGTCACAAACTCCTGAGACACTTGTCTTTGGGCTAGACATTT